ACATGAAATATAAATCAATCTTCACCACCTTTGTTCAACTTCAAATTTATTTTCATATATATATTTATATTTCATTGTGTTTTTTAAAGACTATTCCTTGCCCAAACAAATCCAAACTAAGACTTTGTGTGCCCTCTGCTGGCTTTTCAACAGTACTAAACCTTGCTTCTAGGTAGGAATTGTGCCCAAAAAATGTTATACAACCTCAAGCCTAGCTACTCAACTGAATGATGATATATGAAAATATGAGCAGCATTCCACTATATAAATACCATTCCTGCATCTCTGTTTTGATAGTCTACCAGTGTTAACAAAGCTGCAGTTCATACAAAGTATGCGGGGAATGATTACTAAATACCATAGTTTCAATAATCAAAATGAATTGGAAAAGCTGAAACTCTGAACTGAAACCAAATAGATACAATCCAATAGGAAGATTGCATACAATCAAGAGCAGACAAATGTGAGAGTATAAAAACATTTGTCATCAGCAGATGTAAAAGGGATATAAGTAGTTTATCAGTAATATGATGTGGCTGATAAAAAATGAATTGTTTTACTTATCAATAATTATACATTATTTCATATTCATGTGTAGGCATATATATATATATATATATATATATATATATATATATATATATATATATATATATGTTTTCTGAGGTTTTCGCGGGTGTTTGTATGTAGGTCTTTGGTTGCTCGGGTTTTCTCCCGCGTAAAATTGGAAGTGTCTTGGCGACATTTCGACAAAGTCCCATTCGTCATCTGACTGGCAACCAATTATGTTCATCTAGCAGTGGTGAAACATAGGCATTCTGGAAGGTGCCTGTTACTGCTCATGCTACTACATTTTGAACCATCTGTAGAGTCTCTGGATGGTCTTAAAGGAACACACTATTTTGTTTTGTACTGCTGTGTGAGATGTATGCCATTAAAAACAATCAAAACTGAAGCTTTCAAACTGAGAGCGTCAAGCCCCCCCAAAACCAAGAAAGACATGTGGTGATGCTTCCAAGCAAGTTTCTTTATTGTTCCTCACTTATAGACAAATTTTTGCCAAACTGAAGTACTCTACTATCTACATTAAGTATATACTAGGAGAACTATTATGAAGGGCCTATCTTCACTCTTTCTCTCACACAAACTATCTGAACTGAACTCCTCTGGAATGCACTCTTCCCACCTGGGAATCCAGTCCAGTACATTTCATCACAGAGAGCCAGCTCATGTATGATGCAGGAAAATTCTGGATTATAATAGTCCTCAATTTACAACTTACAACTACAATTGGCTGGTTCAGCCTATTTTATATTGTGACTTTACAATTGATTTTAGTATGTCATAGTATTATCATTAACCTGTATCTAAATTGTGTTTAGTTATATATACATTATAAAATACTTTATTAAAACTATTGATATTTAAAATTAAGCAACATCTATTTAGAGTTATCTAGATTTTAGTACAGTTATAGAAAACAGAATAAATGCATCTAACAGAAACTTCCTTTCCAATTCATTTACTGAGTTGAGTTGTCCTGTGAATTCTATTCCATTCTGGCACCTATGGGAGGAATGTTTATATTTATGTAATTAGGAGTCCTGTTACATCTGCAAGCAAGTCTTCCTTTAGTTCAGATGATAGGTGCCTCTACTCTCTTGTAAATGAATGATATATGCTCTTCAGATGCTCTGCAAAGGAAGTTATTTTTAAAAAATCGGCTTACGGTTTCATCACGCAGCCACCGTGGATGGCTGGGAGATCTGCTCTCTCTCCCCCGTTCAGTTTTGCATCACTGGGGGGCCCTGAAAAGGGCCAAAAATCACCCCGAACAGGTGACCAGCAAGGAGGGGCTTTTGCTGGATCACAGGAGAGCAGCAACTCTCCTGTTAGAACTAACATTTCCTCCAAACCGGCAGACCAAAGGACCGGCCATAAAAATATGGCTCGTCTCTAGGCTGCTAACAGCCGAAGTCACATTAACATCTGGCAACTTCAAAGCAGCATGGAAAGGATTGGGTGAGATCTGCCTCTCTTACATCCTAATTACTTAATTACCTGCATAAGTTGCTAAGTACTTTCCCCCCTGTGGTGAGGGAAGGGGGATTTTAGCCCTTCCTCCAGAAACAGCAGCTATCAACCACTTGGGAGTTGGAAAAATACTGGGATCCTAATTGGAATTCTATTTCCTAAAACTGGTGGATTATAAGACTTGTAACTTTCTACTTTCTATTTTTTTTCTTCTCTGATTTTTACTCTAACTATTATTGAAGATTTGGGTTCTTTTTCTCCCCCTTAAAATAGAGGGGGAAAAGAAAACTGAAAAGATCTAACTAACTCTGAGATGACATTTGCTGGCTAAATTTGAGACTGTAACCTGCTATTCTTTAAGAGAGACTTGTTGAAAGCCTTGAAAATACATAAGATATAAAGCAACCTTGAAGCACCATCTGCAAGAAACTCAGCTCAGCTCTTTACTTGGTGGACTTTCTGATTGTAAGTTTTTTGTTTAGTTTAATACACTACAATGGAAGAAGAACAGGAATGGATTTCTCCCACAGAGGAAGTACAGGAACAAACGCTTTATATGTTAAAAGCAATTATCCAAACTCTCTGTATGCAAGCTCAAACTATGACTTCAACTTCAAGAATCATCTATGCAGAATTCTATAGAGAAAGGGAAACAACCAAATGCTATGACAAAAGACTTAAAAAGTCATCAAATACAAACAGTGGAAAACACAAAAAGGAAACTGATAATAGAGAACAAGGAAAGGACTTTTCTTATAAACCAGAAGGAATTTGAAGATAAAAAAGAAAAACAGATGAAAGAGAAGATAAATACTTTGGGACAACTGCATCGAACTGGAAAAACAAAGAGACGACCTGCTAAATCAGCTAGCCCTCTTAAGAAAATAGCAACTGAACGCCCTTCCAATCAAACAATAGTCACAACAATACAAGGAGATCTTTTTGATGATTTAAAAGCGAAGATACGAAAGATGACTTGGCAGAAGAAAAAAGCTAGAATAAGACTGAAAGGGATTGGGGTTTTGATCTATACATGAGATCTAAAATAGAATATATCTAAATGGATAGAATATGTATTTTGAACATAAGATGTTGTAATGATTTGAGATAAAAATTTATTTTATAAAATCTAGAAATATAAATATTGAAATAAGAATGTTATATTATCTTATTAGTTTGTTAAGATATATATTAGAATTTACATATAAGGTTTGTATTTTAAATATTAGATTATATGAGGAATTGTGATAAAGGAATTGTGCTTAATTAAAATTTGGAAAAAAAATATTAAACATTAAATTAAAATATTAAGGGAAAATTAATCACCAGGTCACTGATTTGCTAAAAGTTTGAATGTTTACAGATAACTAAGACTTAAATTTTAGATATTGTCATGAGTTGAGACACAGGATAAATAAAAGTTAGAAGTATAAATACTAATAATTAAATTTGTATATTGGCTTGTGGTATAAATGCTGATGGTTTACTTATTTATTTTTCTCTTTTTCTGGAAAGAAAGGAAGGAAGGAAGTAGAAAGAGGAAAAGAAAAAAAATTATTAGCCCTAAATATGAGATAGGAGACTCAGAAATTGGGATCACTTAAAATCCGGAAATGATAAAGATTAAATGTTAAATTTAAATATCAATACGAAATTAAAGTTAAGAAAAACTTATAAGGTTATTGTCTAAAAGTGGAATATCAAATTAATTAAGATATGTATAGACTGAAGATTATTGATGAATGCTAGAAAGGTATTTTTTCTTTGATTGATAGAATAATAACTGTATTGATCTGAATATGACAGTAGATCTTATGGGGGAAAGAGAGGGAATTAGTTGTTGTAATATTTTGAGATCTGTACTGATGATATTCAAATGTAATGGAATTACGGTGCTCAACTGCCATGCTACTTTTCAAATATGTAAATATAATATTGGAAAATTAATTTAAAACTTGGGGGGGAAATAAAAAAATCAGCTGCAGATTTATGCAATTTGTGAATTTCTCTAGTCTAGAAATAACTCTTTATTTATTTATTTATCTGTTTGTTTGGCAATTTGGAGGAGCTCCCCTGACATATAGTGTAAAAGGAGGAATAGGGCTTCCCATTTATTTATTCTACATGGGTCCGCCTCCATATCCATAAAGCATGGGAAGGGCATTACAGCAAAAGTGACATATGCGACTGGGGGGGGGGGGAATACCCGGCCATAAAATAAAGGTGACAATGAAAAGGGATAGCAAGGCACGTACAGAAATAAATTCACAAATCCTTTTTAGCCGGCGTGAAGGTTCTCCATCAGGGCGAAAAATTTGCTAATACTGATTTAGCCAGATTTAACCCTGCCCTCAAGTCAGTGGTGGAAAAGATGCGACCTTCTGCATCAGTTTCTCTTCGCGTAACAATCACTAGCTACTGATAGTAGTATTCCCAGTATTTGAGAGGCTGCCACAAAGCAGCAGCATCAGAGGGCAAGACAAGAAACAATGGATGGAAACTAATCAAGGGGAGAAGCAACCTGGAATTAAGGAGTAACTTCCTAACCACGAGGACAATTAACCAGTGGAACAGCTTGCCTTCAGAAACTATGGGTGCTTCATCACTGGAGGTTTTAAAAAAGAGACTGGTCAGTCACTTGTCTGAAATTGAATAGGGATCTCCTGCTTGAGCAGGGGGGTTGGACGAGAAGACCTCCAAGGTTCCTTCGAGTTCTATTCTGATTCTGATGAACTCCTGCCTGTAAGTAAACTTTTTTGGGGGTGTAGCCAGGGGCTCTGTTCCGTCAACCCGGAACGGAAAATACGATGATCTTGGGAAAAAATCATGCGAGGGAACCAAATGCAGGAGACTGCGGTTCCAACGCCGGCTTCGCTCTTCCTGCGGCGTCCTCTGCGAAGCCTCCGTACCCGGAAGTGCGACGATTGGGCCAATAGACTCGTAGTTCCTGCTTCTGCGCCTCGCAGCCGTCCTCGCCCGACTACGGGAAAGCGGTCGGTTTCATGGCAGCCGTGGGCGAGGCGGACGAGGTGTGCTCAGTGGCGACAGCAACGGGACTCGGACGGAGAAAAGCCCAAGGCAAGGTGAGCGCCCGCAGGCAGCAGCGGGAAGGCCGGGTGGAGCGGAGGGAGTTGCCGCGGTTCGTTCTCCCTCTACAGAACGTAGTTTAAACTCCCCCCCCCCTCTACCGATTCATTGCACTCGCATTCCCATGATCCCCTTCTCTCTGGATGGTTATGGGAATCGAAGTCCACGTCGGAAGGCCGCCAGATGGAGAAAGGCTGGCACAAAAGAGCTGGAAGTTTTTGCCTTTCTTTGGCTCCTTGAAACCATTTCGTTTCATGGTTCGGCTCTCACCCTGCGGATTCGTGACTTTTTTTTTTTTTTTGCATTTTTACTTTTGGAGAAAAGGTGTAGGGGAAGCATTGAAAAACTTTAGTCTTAAAAATCCTAACCATCCATTTGAAGGAATACATAGAGGAGAGGAAGCGTTTCTCTTACTCTAGTTAAAAGCCCCTGGTTGGAAGGGGTTTTTTGTATTTTGAATTTCACACTTTTTTTCAAAGAGTACGAGTAGTCCTCACAACAGTTCGTTTAGTGATCGTTCAAAGTTACAATGGTATTGAAAAACGTGGCTTATGACCGTTTTTCTCAGTTACCACCTTTGCAACATTCCCCATGATCACATGTTCAAAATTCAGATGTTTGGCAACTGGTTCATATTTATGACCATTGCTGTGTCCCAAGGTCATATGATCACCTTTTGCGACCTTTTTACAAGCAAAAACATTTGAGAAGCCAGATTCACTTAATAGCTGGTTACTAACTTATCAACTGCAGTGATTCACTTAACAACTGTGACAAGAAAGATGGTAAAATGAGGCAAAACTCACTTAACAAATGTCTTGCTTAACAACAAAAATTTTGGGTTCAATTGTCATAAGTTAAGGACTACCTGTATAGGAATTTTCTCTCTATTCTGATCTTGACACCACTCATGAGGTAGGCTTGAAAACAAAAACGGATAGACACCATTGCGAGAGCATATATGTCTTTTTAAAACTTAGATATAAGTCAGTCACTTATGGAAATATTTTATGTCATATAGAACAATTTTATCAAATTATATCTAAGGAAGTCAATGTAGCCTGATCTGAGGCTACATTTGACCAAGGTAAGAACTGCTTTTTAGAAACTTGTAACCAGTATTACAGCTGGATTGCCATAGTTAACCAACTGATATTCCCTGTGTGCAATCAAGAGTGAAATGTTTGTATAATATTTGCCTATAAACAAAAATAGTAAAAAATGGTTTGGAATATATTTCACCTTACTACTTTAAATGCCCATGAGGTATAGATACATTTAATAATTTCAGATAGCAAATCATACATTGGATAAGATCTTGTTCTATGGATGGGCTCAGATTTTTGTCTGATTCTGGGTTTATGTTTTTATTTTATGTAATAATAGTATATATTTGAGGTGTGGCAATCCTGGGTCTCTTTCATTAGTTTAAAAAGTAAAGATATTTTCAAATGTAAGTACCTTTAACTCTTAAAAAGTGGAGAAAGGTGGTTGCATGTAAATCTAAGTAAGTAAATTTGCTGCAATCTGATTTAATTAGCTTTATCATTTGATTTTATGGAATGGAAACAATGTGCCACTTTATACATTATATTGTTAGATACACTTTAAAATATGTTAATGTGAGGTTTGATTGGCTGCATCTCTTTATTCAGTCTGTGGTTTATATCAGTTGATAAATTAGGGAAGTCAAGACTTTGGTTCTGAGGGCCTTTCCCCCCCCCCCCCATGCATACTATATTTTCTTTCTTAGAAAGCTGCTGATGCAGGATCAGGACCGGTTCCCTGATCATGCAAAATAGCAATGACTGTCATTGCAATATTCAAGCAAAAAACTACATAATCTGTTAATAACTTTTATAAAATGTGGTTTGTATACTTTCTGCCTTTTGACAAATAAGTTATACATGCTCTGCCGTAGCCTGCTTTGCTTTGCTCTATATCTTTTACATAGTGCATATGCTGCACAGACTGTTTCCAGATTAAGTTCAAATTAATGATGTGTAATACCTAGGATTACAATTAGGGATGCTGGGTTTGTTTTTCTCCCCCCCCCCATGTGATTTCTGTAACAAAAACGTTTTCTGGATTTGGCCATTCTTCTTCTTTGCTTTCTGCCCCATCCTTTAGCAGTATTTTTTTATATATATTTCAGCTGAATTACATAGATAAAGAATTTTCTATTACCAGCAAAATATATTTAAAGTGACTATGAGGATATGCAAAGTTCTTTTTATAGAAACTTGCAACCATTTGTACATACAACCAATGATTTAGTGATCGCACAAAGTTACAAGGACACTAAAAAAAAACCCCTAACCTCCAACCGATTCTCACATTTAGAACTGTTGCAGCATCCTCGTGGTCACATGATCAAAATTTGGAAACCAGCTTATATTTAGGACAGCTGCAGCATCCCAGGATCCTGTGATCACCATTTGCAATCTTCTCAGCTGGGAACATCAACAAGGGAAGCCTGATTTGCTGGATGACCTCATGATTCACTTAACAACTGCAGTGATTCACTTAACCATGATAAAAAGGGTCATGAAATTGGGCATGACTTCACAATCACTTTACTTAACAAAAATGTTGGTCTCAAATGTGGTCATAGGTCAAAGGCTACTATTTCTGTGTTACATTTTATTATTATTCATGTTTTGTGAGCCACCTAGAGTTTGGGGAATGGGGTAAGCTATTCATTTTAGTAAATAAATAAATTATAACTTGCCTACTCCCCCATTCCCAAATGAAAGGCTGTGAGCTTGTTTGACCAATATATGCCAAATGTCCAAATATTAAGCAGGATTTAAAAGTTTCTAAATTAAAGAAAATAAATGATAATATCCTTGTAAAAATGTTATATAATGTGTGCCAAAGGGAAACGTGGCATTTTTTTGATTGGTAAATAAAATTGTCATTTCAAAAACAGCTAAATTATACATATCTTAAATCCAATCTTTAATACTGAAGATTGGAGGAGTATTACTATTTTTCTAATTTCTTAAAATAATTCTCTTAGCAATATTCCAGGACTGGTGTATAGTTATCAAAAATAATAAGATTCCAAAAATAACATTAACAAAGATTTCTCTTTAAAATTTACTTAAAATATATTAAATGTGTATTAAAATACTATTTTATACAGATATCAGTGAGTTACCAGACAAAAAACATATGAGTCAATGATGTCCATTATTTCAGATACATTCTTGGGTCTATCCAGTAGATTCACAGTAAAATTGTTTGGTGAATCAATGTTGATGTTAAATTCAATGAAACCAAATCTTCCTGTTTACAGCAAGTATACTTTATCCTGTATATTTGTTCTTCTCTCACTTTTCAACTCATCTTAAACACTGATAGATTTAGTTCAGCTGATGTATTTATATTAAGCATTAATTCTAAATACATAATTACATGATATGCTACATGTGCTGAGCCAAGTCTCTATTTTTGCACCATTCTCTATTGTTTCAGAAGCCGAGGTAGTAGATTTGGAAATGGAAAACACAATTGCATATTTTTTCCAGCTATCCTAGTTTCAAAGCTATCCTAGTTACAAAGCTAGAGTAAGGAGAAGGATAATTTTAAATTATTTGCTACTTGGTCATTTGACAGAATAATTTGAATTCCAGGGTAGCAGATATCTGGAAATAGAACCTGTTGTTAGGGCTTTTCTCTAGCACTTCAAGTCAACATTTAGAAAAGTGCTCATTTATGTTAACAAGTTGAATTATTCCTTGTGACTACTTCTGCACCAGGTAAATCAAAGAAATATAACTTGCATTCCTCCAATTACTGCTGGGCACAGCTTTGAGCAGCTTCAGTTCCAGTATAGAACTATAACTTTCAGAAGGATGCTGGGAGTTGTAGTTCAGAAGTGGAGTGCCTCACATTCCTCACTCTTACACGGTACTGAAATGCTAATGAAAATATCCCAATGTGTTGGCATATCTGAGCACTTTCAGTATTGTGAGACACAGCTTGTTCATTCAAGACAATCCAGTTCACATACTGATATTAAGAACTCAGACATTAAATAATCAGCCTATTACAGATGCAGTTAAAGATTTTTAGGGGTAATGTGTATGCTTTGATAATGGAAATATGTTGAAGTTATTCTTTCTGTTTTGTTTTCTTTCCATGACTTAGCTCTGCTACTATAATCTTACTTGTTAAATATAATTGCCAGCAGTTGTTCCTTGCTCCTTTCTATGATTACCTGCCATGTTTTTAATGAGCTTATCATGGGCTATCAGCTATTTATCTTCAATGATTCACTCCTACATAAAATTAGTGCATTATCTTTGACATCTTCTGCTCTTACTAAAATTTGCCCACTCTCATACATCACATAAAATGTTTAATCAGAGCAAAGCAAAACTGAAGCTTTAGATATTGCAATACTCATTATTGGCAATATTTTATACTGATAACAATTAAAAAATCTTATTCCTGTCATTTTAAGTTGGGTCTGGGAGCTGATGTAATTTTATGTATCTTTTTCCATTACAAATGGGTTTAAATTGTTAACAGGACCTTAGATTTCTTGGCTGAAATGATTAAACAATAGAAGAAATGTGAGAGGCAATCATGTTTGTTTACATAACAACAAACAAAAATACAAACAAAAATACAAACAAAAAGTTGAGCTGTAAAAGTACACCTGTGTTTATAGAACACAGTCAAATATTTGATGACAAGCTGAAATCTATGTCTTTTGGAGTCATTACTAACTTGGAGCAGAATAGAGGATGTAAAGTATAATACTGTGTGAAAAAGGCAAAGAGTTAAAATATTTCAAGACACGGGTCCTCATATGAATTTTTGTTTCAGATTCTAAAATAAGTTATTCCAAGAAGACAAGACAATTAGGCTAAATATAGAGACTCAGCATAGGATCCCAGTTGCTGCTTACAAGCTCTACATGCAAATCTGGACGTTTTGAGGACATCTTCATCTAGCCCTTTGTCCTCTTTATGAAATGATGATGTGGAAGATTACAGGGCATCCTATGCAAACCCAGGACACTTTAGTTGGAAGGAAACTCAGATAAAGAAAATTGCATGTGTAGAAGCACTTACATGCATATGTGGATTTTTTTTGGATCTTGACCTCTGCAAGTGTTTGAAAAAAAATACTCATGGTTTTGGTGATCCTAAAAAAAAATAATCCCAATTGTTGTTCTGATAAAATATCAGTCTGGAATGGGCACGCATGCGACTCTTGATTCATCGAGGAAAAAAAGCTGCAAGTTGCAAGTTTTTTTTCCTTTCCGATTTTGTTGCCAACATTTAATCTCTTCATAATGTTGCTTGCAGCTTAATAGCTTCTTCACATTGGCTTTGCTTCTGCCATCGTTCTTGCGACTGCCTGCAATTCACTCTTTAATTAAAGTGCCATTAGGAAATATTAATTCAGATGTTTTAAGGCTTCTTTCCACTGTTAAAGACAAATTACGGAAGTGGCATCATACATTTCTCAAGAAATAATCTGGTGCATGTTTTGCTAGCAGATTCTGCAGTCTGGACAAGATATATTCCCAAGGTACAAAAGCGTCATGTTGCAGCTGCTTCAATACCTGAATCTTAAATTATGTGCTAGAAAATAATTAAAGGTGGTCCTTAGCCTACTCTGTCTGTCTGAGAATTCTAATTGAGTTATCTATATAACTTTTAACTTAATCTAATAATCTAGTGAGCACAGAACTCTTACAACTTTCCATCAGATTTGTTGCAGATTTGTTCTGCATAAGTACAACGCTTGTATTGTTTGGAATTTATTAACAGCATAACAAGATGGCCTTATTTATTTATTTGTGATTCTTAATATCAAAAACCTAATATAAGTATCTTATTATTTGGGTAACTTTTCCACAATGAATATTCTGAAAAAGATGGTTTGGTTATTGTAAACAACCTTTGGAATAGAAAGCAATCTAGATAGCTTAGTTTCTAACTAGGTTAGTCCTTTCAGTTATTAAAACTAATTGTACCAGTCTATGATATTCTTTTAGTCTGTGAAAACCTATACATGAAATGGCAGTATCTGGAATTAATAAAAACTGGTATATAAATGTACTCTAGTTGCAACATGGCACTTTAATGCCTAAATTTAATGGTAGGCAAATTTAATAATTGCTTGAAAACCAAGAAACAATGACTGGCATTGCCTGCAGAAATACTGATTTTATGATTCCACTTCATCCTTAAAAAAATATCAAGAGTACAGGACACATTGCTGGGTTGATTTTGTTTTGGCTCTAGTTAAAAATAAACTTATGCATCACAAATCTTACTTCCTTCACTGCTTTCTCCAGGATAATCCTCGTAACAGCTGTTAAAGACGACAAAAGATACAATTTAAATACTGAAATATATTTTACTGATCAAGTACAATGGATCCATGTTCAATTGGAAATCAGCTGCAAGCTAGCAGTGATTGTCATAAAGCATTCTTTACCTCTCAAACTGGCTTCAAGACTAAGCAAGATTTATCAGCAACTGATCTGTTACTTCTTCAGCTTAGAACTGGGATAACTCTTTCAGAGACTCATACCATCTGCTTCCACCATGCTAAAGTTTACCTTGATAGATACGAAGACTTGCAAAAGTCATGTTGCGATCCTTTTAATATGCACAAAAAACTGTCAAGGAAAAACTTGCGTGCAATTGACATAGATGATGTATCTTTTCTAAGTGCCAAGTTTGGACGTCAATTTATACCAGGCTGGAAGCTTTGCCCCAAATGTACACAGATAATAAGTGGAAATGCAGAGGTTGACTCTGAAGACCGTCAACGAAGGAGACTTGATTCAGACGTATGTATATGGGACCATTTTTTCAACTATCTTAAATACTGGACTAAAGCTGTAACTTTTGCAGTTATATGATAGTAAATCCCACCCACTGAAAAAAAAGAGGTACCTCTAAATATATGTCCCATAGGAGGCAGGTTAAAAGTATGAAAAAAAATAGCACCAATCCCTTCCCTTAAAATAACTAAGTGTACACTCAGTTCTGTACAGTTCCTGATTGTATGACTCTCATTGGATAAGCACTCCATGAAGAAAATGCCATCATGGATTAAATATCAGAAATGGCGTTTTCATGTAAAATTGCAACTTCTCAGTTGAATCTTTGTATGAATTGTATGTATGAATGAGCTCTAATCCTTTTAAGGGGAAAAGAGACCAAATCCTTATAGGGAGAAAATAACTACTCAGCTTTTGAAACTGTAATATGCATAAGCTTTTCCCTTAACTTTCAACTCAGTTAAACAAATTTCTGTTTTATTCAAACCAGGATACAATAGTTAAAAAGCTGTTTTAATAAAGTAGCTTTTCATGAAAATGTTAGCCATACTTTCCTGGTTTGTATGATATGATCTTAACTCTTATAATATTTAAAGGCAAATTGGCTTATATGAACACAGACAGGAGGATACCACATAATTTGTGTAAGCAATGAGATCTTATCAATACCTTGAGATTTAAAAGAATGTAAGACACCAGAATGGGATGTATTACTTCAGACTGATGGTAGGCCACACTTTTAACAAAACCCCTGGGCAAAATACTCTGCAAATATAAAACAGGGTGGGGAGAAGTACAATGAAGAGAGATTCTAACATCTCCCTACTTCGTTAGTGCTTTTCCTGCAAGGTATATTTCACTAGAGGGAATATTCAAAAACTGAATTACCATCTGCAGTCTGAAGCTGCACACTTCTTAGAGTTCTTACATGATTGATAGAGGAAGATTTCTCTTCCAAGCAATAAGGAGCATCATGATGGAAGACTTTCATCTTTAAAACTGAACTTGCAATCCAGCTTTGCACAGTCTATGTTTAATGAAGACATGCTACACTTATTTTCTATTTTGGAAATAGGAAATAAAAAGAGAAGTGAAAAAATTACCCTGTTTATTAAAGTAACTATTCCTGCTTCCATTAACTTGCATCTCTTAAGGGTATACTCCTGTCCAACTTATTATTTTTGCTTTCTTTTGGCTATTGATATTACTATTACCATTACTTTTATTCATTGAGCTATCTCATAAGCAATTTAGAGCACAGTTGATACCATAAATAAAAAGAGAGAAGTGTATATTTGGCTTCAACGTTTGTCTCTTAGCAGAAATATGTCACTTAATTAGAAATGCTTTGAATTTTTTTTTTTAAATAAAATTGTCTGTATTTATTCAGGGACGAACAGCTAAGGCCTTGAAGTCCTTACAGTTTGCTAATCCAGGACGGCATACTGGATTTGCTCCGGAAGCAAACAAAAGAGAAAAAAGAAAGCTACAAACAAAAAACACATCCGTTAATTCAGACAGGTAGAATTATGGATTGATTGCCTTTGCTTTTTCACTTTGAGGGGAAATTGTCCTGCTTACATATGGATTATAATTTAGAACTGCTTAGATCAGTGGTTCTCAACCTTTCTAATGCCGCGACCCCATAATACAGTTCCCCATGTTGTGGTGACCCCCAACCACTTATACATCACTGGGTGCCAGGGGCGTGGCCAAAGAAAAGGGGAAAAAATGGCGGACAGACTTGTTTGGTGACCCCTGTGAAATGGTCGTTCGACCCAAAATGGGGTTCCGACCCACAGGTTGAGAACCACTGGCTTAGATGCATGGATTTTTTTCCCCTATGTTTGTGCATTGGAATAAAATAAGTTGCATTGTCCAATCATTATAAAGCGGCTTGAAAATTTGATGGTGGAGATACTATACTTAGTTGCAATTTTAATATTAAACAATCATAATAGATCAATTTTTGTACTCTTTATGCTAAACTCAAAGCAAACTGAATTAGCTATAACCCTGTTACAGTTGCATGTCAATTGTGATAATCGGTAGATTCGTACTTAATGTTAAACAACAATTAAAATTGAAGTAAATGTACTAGATATTTTTAGTGTAGTGGTGGCCAGATGGAAAGTTCTAAAAGACTTTTTTAGGTAGTGTGAGCATTAAAAAAAAGTGGATCATTTGCCACAAGAGTCAGAATTGTAGCATGGACAGACATCCAGTATAGTTGCTTGAATATATAAATGGCCTCTGCATTGAATTAAATTCTTATTCTGCAGAAGTTTCTTGGCAGCCTATATAATCGTAGTTTTTTTTTCCAAAAATATTTAAAATAATTATATGGCCTCCCCTCCCCCCACCCCCTGTAATAGGGCATTTCAAAAGAGTGTCAGGGTAGGGGCTAATCTTATTTCTGCAGGAATGATGTTCCCTGGGGAGGGAGCTACCGTGGAGAAAGCCTTTCTTCTTGTCCCATTAGATGGACCTCCTTAGTAGACCAGGTAATATCCCCAGCCTCTCCACTGTGGTGGGTAAGGTACATGTAATTGGGAAAAGATGGTCCTTCAAACAACTTGGCTCCAGGCCATGTACAGCTTAATGGTGACACAACCAGCACCTTGAATTAGACCCAGAAGCAAATCAGGAGCCAGTGCAGCTCCCACAAGAGAGATACCAGTCTAGACTTGCATAAAACCATTCAAGCCAGTGTAATGTAATTGAAACTTCCAGAAACTTTTCAAGCCCCATGTAGAATGTATTGCAGTAGTCATATTAGTTTATATCTGCTACTAAGAAGTCATATTAGTTTATATCTGCTACTAAGAAGCAGCTGCTGCTTCTCAGTACAACAAACTAGAGAAATTCACCTATCGGGAGTTTTAAACTGAATGGTCAGTTATTTAAAACAGCGTCTAGTATTACAGATCATTGTTAACTATTGTTGCTTGTATTTTTCCTTCCAGGCAATTAATAGCAGCAAAGAGCAAGGTATATGACAGCCAAGGCTTTCTGCTTTATAGTGGGATAGACCTGTGTGACTGCCTTGATGAAGACTGCCTTGGGTGTTTCTATGCCTGCTCCAAGTGCGGCTCCCGCAAGTGTGGACCTGAATGCCGTTGTGATCGCAAGTGGCTATACGAGCAAATTGAGATAGAAGGAGGAGAAATTATTCGTAATAAGCATGCGATATAGCCTGTGCTCCACATTTCATTACTGAGTCACAGGAAGGTTGTTCATGTAATAAAATGTAATCTGTTCATATTTCCAGTTAAGATTCAGTGTTGTCCAAACAAGCAATAAGTAATGGGAATTTATATCATCTGACAGAAGAAAAATTAGAAGGTTGTCTAAGCATTTGTGGATTAATGGACAAGCTAATAAGAATTGTATTTGCTAATATTCATTGTGCGCTTCGTGCAGCATATTTTTCCTCCAGGTCATTATTGTTGCCCATTATAGGAGGTCTTTTAAGTATTTTCTTTTTCTGGAATACAGTTTCTCCTGCAGACACTTTAAGCACTAGCAGCATAAGCAGTATTAGTTGTGGAAAATGGGTGATTTGCGAAGGATGTTGCACAATAAACAGAAATATATATGTCAGACTTTCAAGAAGATGGTATGCCTTTATTAAGCAGCAATATGAAAGTGATTCACCTTTTTTTTGCGAACAGGCACCATGTGAACAAGGAATTATGTCTTCAACAGTATTTTACTGCCAGTGGAAAGAAAGTCACCAAAGTTACAGCCTCAGGCAATATTTTTATTGTGAATATCTTGTTTTGAGACTTTATAACTGAATTCATACCGTGGTTCCCCGAAAGTAAGGCCTAACCCAAAAATAAGTCCTAGTTTTGGGGTGAGGCACACACCTAAAAATCAGGTGGGATGGGGGTGTGCAGCTGCCCCACGCGCCCTGCACCCACTTACTTTGCAGCCAGGCCTCTCCTCACTGGTCCACTTCTTCTGCAGCGTCTTCTACCCACTGCAGCCAAGAACTGAGCTATGGATTCAATCCATAGCTCAGTACTCGGCTGCATATGTCTTCCGGAAAGTCCTGACTGTAATGTAGACTGGAATGCATCTGTAGAGTGAAGCTGCTCATTCGGCTGCAGAAGAAGTGGACTGGCTGGGCGGAGCTGTTGGTGCCGGAGGTGAGTATAAAAGACATCCCCTGAAAATAAGACCTGATGCCTCTTTTGGATGCAAAATAAAAATAAGACCCAGTCTTATTTTGGGGAAACATGGTAGATGGATGGAGAGTTTGTGGCTAAAAAGTGACACACTGACACCTTAGCTTTAAGAAATACTCAAAAATGTATATTTGATGGAATTATACAAGCATAGGTACGATAAGACATTTATAGTCTTTCTACTGTAGCAGTTAATAGGCAATGTTCATAGTCTACTCAGATAATTAGCCATGTGCTCCAGGTAAAATGCATGTACACTTAGTCTGATGCATATAGTGCATATTATAGAAATGTGAGGTTCAGAATTTTGCAGAGAAAATATCATTTGTACCAGAAATTTTTTGAACGGTATGCCAAGTATCATTTTTATTTTTAAAATATGAAAAAGTTGTGATTTCTTTATCTGCAGACACTAATAAAGAATTGATTTTCATGAAAATATCTGTTTATTATTTATTCTGTTAACTATATGCGACTAAATGTACCGTAAATGCCGGCGTATAAGACGACTTCCGCGAGCGCTGAAATCGGCGCCAAAGACGGGGGTCGTCTTATACGCCGAGTCGTCTTATACGCCGGAAATACTGGTAGTTTCTGGCGTATAAGACGTTCTAGGAATGCGGCCCGGCTATAAAGACGGGGGTCATCTTATACACCGGGTCGCCTTGTACGCCGGCATTTACGGTACCCTAATTCAGAAAGAGAAGACGATATAAATAATCAAGGAATTGTATTATGCTACCATTATATAAATTTTGTTGAATTACTAGAACATGCAATTTCTGCATATAATCATGGTCCAAAATACTAAAATTTAAAATAAGGATTCCATCAAATATTATGCAGACAATGGGATTTCCTTTGTTCGCTTCCCAATTCTCCCAAGTGTGTTTAAATGAATTTCTCAACCCTTTGTTGCAGATGTTATATCTTATCGAGAGAGAAAGAATTCCCCCCCTCCAAGGTTAATTAAATATATTGAAAATGTTGAAATCTTGTTTACCACACTGGAGTTTCCTCCCAGGCTTGCTCTATAAAAACTCAAATGTAGAATGTTCTACATGTAAGCTTCCTGTATAACAGTGTTTCCCAAACTTGACAATTTTAAGGCATGAGGACTTCAACTCCCAGAATTCCACAGCCAGCAACGCTGGCTGTGGAATTCTGGGAGTTGAAGTCCACATGCCTTAAAATTGTCAAGTTTGGGAAACACTGCTGTATAATATATGTTGTTGAGGCTAGTTTAGACCTAAACTAGGCTCAGAATATGGCTAAACTTTATTGCTTGGATATTTTAGGGTTTGGAAGTAGGAAAATTTTATTTTCTATATATTATTGTTATGTATGGTTGTTATAATTGATCTGATGTCTCTGATGCTTGGATTTTATTCCTTTGGATTCATATCATTGTGGGCTGGTTGTATTGGGAAGAAATGGGATAAAAAAATAGAAATAAAATTACCTGGGGTCCAGGTACTGGACTCAGTGTTAACTAATAAAAATGAACTGAACTAATTACCCTTTAAGTATTGCTATTCTTTTACTACTGAATATATTGCTATTTGTTTTTTCTGAACTCATGCAGCCATAAAGAAGTCTTAAGAGTTCACCACCCGGTGTGCACCTCTCATCCTGAAACAGACAACCTCTTGTTCAGTAATAAGAATATCCCAGAGGCCAGAATTAGTGAGTCTCTTTTTTTGTGGAGAAAACTGATCCAAGCTGGTGAGGAGAAGAAATGGGGGACATTTGATGGATTGACATTTTTAATTTAATAAATAAAAGAATATCTTAAGATTGGAGCTGGTTAAGAAGTAGAATGTGAAAACAGCTGCTGACTCTGCAGTGTTAGTTTGTTTTTTCTTCCCTTTAGGGGCAGTGTGCATGTCTTAACCATTATGTATTATTAAATGTTGTATTTTCCTGATGGTAGGTTAGTAAATGGTTTAAACCCACCGTACTCTTCTTGCCATTTATCTTGGGGTGGGGCAGACAGCTAGTTAAACATTTTGCATCTTTTGTAACTATTACCCTTTCAGTTAAAAGAACTTTAAAGCTAGGGCATTAAAAAAACACCTTGTGCATATATAATGAACTATTGCTTATATTGTAAATATATCTAAACTAAGCCACAGACTAAAGTTGGACCTCTTAATCACATTAGATTTTTTTATATTAGTGGCCTGAAGAGAGTTCTGAGCTGTACTACTTACAGTTTTGCCAAATAGTCTTTTGCAATTAGACTCTTTAAACAAATAGAAATCATGCTAGTGCATCTAGGCTAATGTAGGATATTTTGTTGGGGGGGAACCTCATCAATAGGTTTGTATCCACCCAGCAAAGTTTGGATGAATTGCAAGTTGTCAATACCTGTTTTACTTAACATTAAACCTGGATAAAATTTTAGGAGATCTTAGACGGTCTGGAACTTAGATATTTAAACAGCGGTCTCTAATCTTTGTGGCTTGGCAGCCTGGCTGTGGTGGGAGAGGGAACATGCACACACAGCCCTTGCTCGAGTGGTGGGATGGCACATGCACTCACACAACCTTTGCACGAGTGGCAAGTCGATGCATGCACACAGTCCTGCAAGCAGTGGGCCAGCCCAAGAGAACAAGCTGCATGCATGCGTGCAAGGGCCTACTGCTCGCAGAAGTTGAGTTGTGTGCATGTGCTCTAGCAGCCACTCATGCGGACCAATTCAGAATAGGCCATAACCTGGTAGTGGGACTCGGCCCAGAGGTTGGGGACCTCTGCTCTAAAATCCCCCATTTGTAGATGATTTAAATTCAATTCACAATAGAAATCCCTGTCATGCTGAATTCTCCCTAGCTATATTTTTAAGATCATTCATATTATACTTAGGAAACCTTTTTGTGTTTGATCTGAATTGATGCACTACCTATCAAGTAACAGCTAGAAGATAGTTCAAGCTCCCATACAAAATATTTATGTTCAAACTCAAGATTGAATCTGCATCCCTTGTTCTAGTAAAATGTCTATTCTCCAGTACAAGAGATGGAGAATCCACCAATGGGTTTTCTCTGCCTGCCTGCTCTTGAGACCAAGTAGCCAAACTTGACACGCCCCCCTCTTGCTAGGAGACCCAGTCTTGACTTGGTCTCAAGCTCTTGGAAGACGTATCAGGTTTGGCTCTCTCAACAGCTAGCAGGTTAGAGATCCATGGTGAATTCTCCTTTCCCTATAGTCACCCTTAACAATTTAGTTAAACAAGAAATTTGGAATCCTTCCCTAATTTTCCCTACAACACTGGGATCAGTGCTGACTCAAATCGCACAATTTGAGCAGTGAGGGGGGGAGGTTTCTGCAGCTTTCCCTTCGTTCCATTTCCCCAGGGCTCTGGGGAAATCTTTCTGGCAGGCGTTGCCTTGGCTATCCCTCATTCTCCCCCCCCCTTTCTTCTGAGCTACCGGGCTGAATCTCGTGCTGCAGACCTGAGATTCTTTGTTGAATTTGGAGCCTCCAGATCATCTCCAGCAGCCGGGAACACCCGTGGACGCCATTTTGGTTGCCGTCAAAGGCAACAAAATCAAACTCAGCCCCGTTTTTTGCCTGCCGTTTGGAGGCAGTCTTGCTGAGCTCATTTTCAGCACAGCGCTTAGCTCTGCCATCACGTTTGGCACCAGCCCCTGTAATCTTGCTTTTGAGGCCTCCGGTGGCCATTATCAATGGAGAGCAAGTTGTGGCTGCCATTTTTGGGCCCCGCCAAAGGCAATGAAGCCACAAACAGCCTTTTTGTGCTCGTTTGGGGCCTTCTCCTGATTCCTTGGGATAGGCCTCTTGTGGTTTTGGGGTCAGGGTCCTTCGGTCCCACTGCAGCCTCGTTAATTTAATAACAATTTCACGGACCTATCGTGACCGCCATTTTGAGATGCGCCACGCAGTTCTCCATCTAGGCCACATAGGAGCCCTGCCCCAGTGACTGTCTGCAGGCCTCATCAGCTACGCCCATTACCCGGCTAGGCCAGGGTCTCAGGCCACCACTATCCTTCATCACAAATCACTTTCTGCAATAGAATACAAATTGTTTAGCCACCATTTTGAGCCTGATCCTTCCTTGCCAGGACCTTTTTCTCAGGCCCTCTGCGCCCTTCATTGGGGCTTTTTTCTGGTGCACCTTGACTGGCCACCTAAGGCTTCCAGGTGGAGCCCAGAGCAGGTCCCCAACCATGCCTTCGGCATCTGACTCAATTGCCGTGACCAAAGCCCAGATAGAATTTTTTTCTGGTTAGGTGGTCAGGGGAGCAGTCTTGTTACTTGTTCCAATTTCGCTTCCGCCAACTGCTTGCCTGCCAGAGCTTCGTCTTAGTTTCCCTGAGACTGCTCAACCAGGATGGAGGACTCCACGCTGCCTCAACCCATGAGCACTGCCTCCCCATCCTCTAGTTATGGCCGGCACAAATCTTCAGAACAGCAGGGGGCAGGCAAGCCCAAATCTAAGGCTAAGACCACTCTCAAGAAGCCTTCCAAGTTGGCAGAAAAGCAAGCCAGCCGTAGGCACCAGGCTCTGGAGAAGGCGTTCTCCAGAGCGCAGAGGCAGGCCGGATTAGAGACGGATCAAATGGCGGTTCCTGAATTTGACCTTCCTTTAGGCCCTTCAACCTCTGCTTAAGGTGTGTGGTCTCTCACAGGGATGCCTACCACACTCAGCTCCCCTTCTGTATTGGTTCAATAGGCAGTAACTGCTTCAAGCTCAGCCCCAGAGGCCACCTTCACTCCTATGGCTGCAGGACTCAGGGGTCCAGACATTGGAGACATTTTCTTTGACAGCCGCCTTGAGGCCTTACTATCCAAGGTTGTGAACCACACTCTAGTGGAATGGTCCTTCCATCCACCTGGATAGGGAGCTTCCACAACGGCCATGCCACCTTATGTTCCCTCTATGGGGTTCCCTATTTTTCAGGAACCCACATCTCTTGCACACTCCTCCATGAGCTGATACTCATCTCCGCAAGGTGAGGAGCAGCCGGAATTTGATCTATCAGAGGAGGAGGAACTTCCCCCTAAGCCCTCCCCATCGGGAGGCCTGTTCAATCCAGCCCTGTTTCTTCTCCTACTTCGCAAGGCCACATCAACGGCAAACATAGGGTCCGATCAGTTCCCTCAGCCGCAGGCAACTTCGGATTCCAGTCCAAATCCGATATTTTTTGAGATGGTGGCAGCCCAACATCACATTCCGTGTCCATCTATTTTTCTCAAAGGGATCAAAAAACAATGGGCCTCCCCTTCCTCCTTCCCTTCTGTAAGCGGGACTGACAAAAAGATTTTTAGCACCTCCACAGACCTCACTGATGCTCTGGAGGTCCCCAAGGTAGACGAAGCCTGGACCCCTCTGGTATCCCAGACTGCAGTCACTGGGGACATGTCAGAGGCGCTTAAAGTGGACGACAGAAAATGGGACCAAACCTTCCGGAAGAC